ATGCAAGTCCAATCCCTTAAACCCCACTGGCCATCGTCTCTAAACATATTTATACGTCCATCCCCCCAGACAACGTGCGGAACCCGGGTTTTTTGGGACGGCCTATAAAAATATGTATTAGATACCCTTTCAAAGATTAGTGTTTTATAATGGCAGAACCACATTCATTTTGTTTTTTGTTAGGGGTATGTTGTTTAGTCTTTCCCAAAAATATTTGTCAGTGAGTGAACTAAAAGATGCCGTCCACATTTCGTGCCAACTATCAAAATTGTGTTTTAACTAATCAAAAACTCAACATAAAAAAACACAAAAACAACTACGTGAACTCGGTAATAACGTTTAATTTCCAATTCTGAGAAAAGTTTTTGGGGATAAATGCATGTATTTTCTTATCTATAATTATCGGTTTTAAAGGGAGGGGCACAAATTATAGTAAAAAAAGGAAATTAAAAAATATTCAGATATAGAACAGAACATATCAGTTTTCTTTAAAATCTTTTTTCCTGGTCATGGCTTCGGGTGAAATTCAGCATTACGTTTTCAACGTTTATAAATTTGGGAAATTTTTATGAAAAAGTTGCAACATTTTTTTGATTTCTTTTTATTGTAAATCGTGACGCGGGCTATTGGCACGTAAAAAAAAAAAAGGAAAATTTTCTCCTTTTTGAAAAAAACAGAAACGTTTTAGTAAAAAGAATAATTTTTAAATTTTTCTTTAAAATAGTTGTATCATTAACGGTTAAGTGAACGAAAAGCTTGTGATGGGCACCATATTTTTTTCTTTAGTAAAAAACGTTTGAATAATTTCTAAAAAAAATATACACACTGTTTTTTGAATAAACTATGAGCACGGTTTTATTTAAAGCGTAAAAAGTGAAGTGTTTTAAAATTTTATTGTTGTGTATTTTAAGATGGTGATTTGATTTGGCTATGGGGGCCCCATGGCCCCCCCGGAAGGATAAGTGGGTTTCCCATCAACAGAGCGGAAAATGGGGTGGGACATTGCAGAACTCGCGGTGATCTAGAGTAGATGAGGGATGGACCAAGTATAATGGTATATAAATCATGTCTTGATTTTTCTGTCTATGATTTTTACTATCTTTCAAGTAAGTAAATGTTTGTTGTATGGGGAGAGCAAAACGGGTAGCCCACCTGAGACGAATGGTACAGGGCGATAGATAGGTACACATCGAAGAGAGATCTGGGTGTGGAAAGCTTGGAGCTACCCAGGTGAGCTTTCTCATTTTCACTTAATTCTGTTGTACTAAGTGGTTTTCTTACTGAGTATTTTTTTTTTTCCCCAAAACTAAAAAGTATCAAATACATTAATATTATTTTTTAGAAAATTTTGAAAAAAATTCATGGTATAATATTATGAGTATTTGAGTGTACTGATTACGGAAAAAGATAAAACCCAAAATTTTTATTTATTAACTAACTAACTAATACTGCCTAGTCAGTATTCTTTGGGGTTTATTTTTTAAAAAGAAAAAATACAAAAACCCCTAAAAATACAGTTGTTAATCACTTTGATGAAAGTTGGTGAAACTTGATCCCAATTAGTAGAGGGATATAATATGTCAAGAACTTTTATTGAGATTCCAATCAAACAATTTTTTAAATTTTTTTTAAAAAGTCCTTTCCAAAACTATTTATTTTAGTTTCCTTCTAAAGTTAATTTTTTACGTAAGTTAACTAAGTATATTTTATAAATAGAAAAAGAAGTAATTATTTTAGCCCAAAAAAAACAAAGTTACAAGAAAACCCAAAAAAAAGTACAGTTTTTTTTTATAAACTTTAAAAGTAAAAGAGAGAGTGAGAATTTTTTAGCAGAAGACAGACTTTAATTCACCCCATGACAAAAAAAATATTGCTGTTTTTTGTCTATTTTTAATATGTTTGCCTTTTTATATGCAAAACAATTTGGCCCAACCAAAGTTGTTTCAAAAAAAAAATGTCACCCACGAAAAAAAAATTTCGTAATTTTACTTAAGGGATAACCTATTATCGTTTTATAAAACGCCTTTACCTTAGACACAAAATACCATATTAAGAGAATGTTTCTAAGAAAAAAAAACATCTACAATAACTTTTAAATATCCCACTATATCCAGTTTTCCCTTTTTACTGTAAAATATCATTAAATTGATGAAGTGTAAAGTACTTTGGCTACATTTGTATGTACAAGTAGTCAAAAAAAGAAATACTATACAAGGAACAAAGACCAATTAATTTATTCCCATGATTTTTCTGTGAGAATGATGTTCTTAATCAACTTGTTTGAACAATGTATCTATTTGTTTCACTTACTCACTAACCTTAGTTGATTTATAAAAAGTGTAAAACACATGTAAAACTTTAAAAAGTAGTAAAACATTTAAAACATTTTGTTATTGAACAATTATGATGATTTTTTGTGACAAATCGAAATTATTCAATGACTACAAACCTACAATCAATAACTTTCAAAACATAAAATCTTTTTAAAAAGACAGGTTTTACGCATTCACCTCAAAGAAAATAACATTTGTTGTATCACCTGGTTTTTGAGAGCACCCCCCTAACTGCCTCAGCCAGTTTCGGATCCTAGGCTTCGACATATCGAGAATAGGTTAGTGGCGGGGTCACTTTGAGGGTAAGGCTAAATTAGCCTTTAAGTAGCTCACTGTGCTGAACAGATCGAAGTAGTATTCTTTAACTCTATAAGGTGCAAGTCCAGCTGAATATGGAATACTGTTCTTATCTCTTTATACCCCAGTAACAGCTTCTCCCCTGGACGCATCCAACGAAGAGTGATTCGATCGTCGATAGCCCAAAGATCTCTGATCGGTTCGACCTTGACATTACGTAAAGATTCGTGTTGGACTAATACCAGCCGCAACTTTCTGCCACACGGCAAAATTTTCATTCCTGCCACTTGGATAATTGGCACTCACCACTGTGCGCTTTTTAAAGACACTTTTTTGTCTCGCACAACTAATCTGTCGAACAAGTTATCCTCTGCGGTTTTTTCCGGACCGATACGACCTTCAAACCTTCAAGAAAAGAGCATATCCTTAATAAAAGGCCGGCAACGCGCTTGTGACTCCTGAGTTGCAGACGTTTATTGGAGGCGGTAGTCACTTTCCATCAGGTGATCTTCTGCTCGTTTGCCCCGTCTCCCAAAAAAATAAATCTGACGAGACCTTGACTGAAGTTCTGTCCAACAGATTGCTTATTATTTAGTAGGTACTGAATATAGAGATATAGGTAAGCATAAAGTGAACAAGAGCCCAATCTTGCAATATAGGCTAAGAGAAAAGATAGATAATAGATAGTTCCCTATTCTTGAGATCTTTCTTGTCGAGCTCTGTGGTTGGATGGGGAACATAAGGGGTTAATGCCCACTTCATGATAGACCTAAGCTAACCAGAGACCGAGAGAAACTATCGGGCATCTATCTCTCTCGTTGCCTGTATTGGAAGATTGGGACTCTTTTTCACTCTAGGTCCAAGCCAATGTTTTCCATACTATACATTCATTATATTGTTTGAATTTTATTTACTCAATTTTCTCTTTAATAGTTGAAACTATTGTTACACTAACATTACTCTAAAAGTTTATTATCTTTACAGTTCGAGAAAGTGATAGAAAACCCGGTTCTTATGTTTTGAGTTACCTGGGTCGCACAGGGATTAACCATTTTAGGTAAGGCAAACTTTATCACTATGACTAAACACTGTCTTAACGTAATATCCTAAGGCTACTAGATGGGGGCAGAGGGCGTACACAGTAGTCCTCCATCGCGTTGCCGATTCTCTTCACCTCATTGCGGACAGTGCGCGCCAAATTTACTTTGGGCGGCCACGCTTTCGTACATTTGCGTTAAAAAACTCTATATCAGTAAATAAATTGAGTTATGTAAATCCTATTAATTGGCATCTCTCTAATATGGTTAAATATGTTATGAGTTTTTAAATGATGTGTGAAGTTGTGCAAAAAGTTACCCAAAGATTTTTGCATCCATGTTAGGGATGAAACGGATAGCTAGTCATTTTATAAGCACCTCTTAAGAGAAGCCTTATTATGTTAGAATAACAGCTGTATGCGGCGATTATTACATCGGTTGGTCGTCAGTTCGACTCCCTGACTGAACTCGTAGGTTTCTACAGTCACTGTTCTGATCTGCTTTAAAAGGGAACGTCTTGTGAACCTGTTCCTCCACCAGAACCACGTCAATGATAAAAAGGTAATGATTGTATATTTTTTGTATAAATATTAGAAAAAAAATACAATTAGGATTTATTTTCAATGCCCTTCACATGAAAATATTTTAAAGAATCGAAATATTAGCTTGTGTCATCATCAATATTGTTAGGACATTACAGACAAAATACATTAATGGACATATTAAAAACTGTTCTGCTGACACCTCCCTAAATCATAAGGGTAGTAAAAGCTTTTGCCTGCCTAATGTTTAAAGATTTGCCAGGATTATCGGGGTTCTTTCTAGGGCATACTGAGTGCTTGCAACAGAGTAATTTGTGACAAAACCACGTGTTTTTAGACGGTGTTAAATTCCGCCATACTACTTCACCAAGAGCCCGGGGAAAAGTGATAATCCCATGGCGTTTCATTAAATTTAATTACTTTGAAGGAGTCATATTTGTCAAAACAGAGATTGTTGCTTTGTGTGTGTGATCTATGACTTTAAGAGTCTATATAAAAGACGATTCAAAACAATTTGAAAATTTTATGAAATAAAGAGAGTGAGTTTGAGTTTACTACGAATGTATTTCGTAAAAGTTTACTAGTTTAGTTTTGTAAGTTTAGGAAGTTTTAAGAATTCCTGTCAAGGCACCAAAAATCCCGGTTTTTACTGATAATTCATTATTTTTTCTGTACCTATTATATTTTAATTTACTTACAGAGGGTAGTAGCTATATTACCGTACACCAAGATGCCTGACACTGATGAGCTCACCATTCCAAAAGGGTGACATTTTCTTTCTGCATAATGACATGGGCGATGGCTGGCTCTGGGTTACTGCACATAGGTTAGTTTTCATTTATAAATTTAACGTAGAGATGCTATTGCTTCGTAGAATAAATTCACCAGCCATTTCCTATGAACTCAAGAATTTTCTCAATTTCATAGGAAATGGCTGGAGAATTTATTTGTATTTTAACATATGTTTGGTTGCTGAAAACTCATACAAACACGTGTCACGTCCTACCTGTCATTTCTTTTGTTTTACAGAACTGGGGAACAAGGAATGATTTTCAGAGAGTTAGTCGAGGATCTAGACCCTTCCATGATCCGAACACTGTTTTCTCCTGGTTCCACCCTAACTGCACTAAAAGTGAAGCGGTCGACATGTTAGTTAAGGCTGGTCCCGGGAGTTTCCTCGTCAGACCCTCGGATAACTCGCCCGGAGATTATTCCTTGTTCTTCCATATAAAAAACCAAATCCAGAGGTTCAGGATAGAGAAAAAAGGAGTCAGGTATTTGATGGGTGGCCGAACATTGATGTTGGATGCTGTTATAATAGATACGGAAAACGATAGTAGAAGGGCATACCTTAGGA